TAGTCAGACAGTTGTTTCCAGATGCATGGACTTGAAGAAAATTATCTCACGAGAAGCTGTAAATTGTTAAAATGATAACTAGTCATTATTGGACACTGATATGGAATTATATTCATTTTATAGATATTGAACTTTGCAATGGCGCCGATGGTGACTTTTTGTGTCAAATAAAAGTGGCAAAGACATGCAGTGATGGAAGAATTAGGTTAGTTAAATATTCCTTTTGATATAAAGCACAACATTTTAAAAGAGTGGTGAAAGGAGAAAAATTTACAGTATTTTTTCGTCTTCAGATAGCAATACACATTCGACAATTTTGAATCGATAGAATATTTTTGCATGGCTTTAACCTTGAGATCATTTGATCTGATTAGTAAAAATATTCTTGATATCACTGTAAATTCAACATTCAAGTTTTGGCAAATTTGAATTATAGCTTCGGCATTTGAGACACATCGCGCTATAAAATTATTTCAAACGTTTTTCGATTTGATTGCAATTTTACATTAAAAAGTTTATCAACTATTTATCTTTTGCCAAGCATGTCTTCAACTTGTCCTGCCAAGGATAATATTATATGGATAAATTTCTGATTGAATTCAGGCCTTGGCTTCCGATTTATCAGTCGCGACTTGTCAAAGTCAATTTTGTATTAAAGAAACACTGAATTGCAAGTATTATGTTAAATGTGTGGCTTTTGAAATATTTTGAATCTAGTTTTACATATGCAACAATGTCTGATTTGCAGAATATGAACATAAAATTTCACAGCATTCAAAATCTAGAATAGTGGCGTGTTTATGGAATTTAGTATTGATTTAGGACTAGATAGAGAGAGAATTCAGGGAACGGTATTGGTGAATTTGATTCCGTTGCGAAATTCAAACCAAACTCTGTTCTAGTAGATTATATAGCGCTGTCGATCTTTTTGTATTAATGAATTTTATCAAATGTCAACAAGTATTATAAATATGTTAGCCAGATATAAACAAATAAATGGTTCACGTTTGAAACTTGTTTGTCCTTCAATTTGTCTCAAATACTTCGATTAAGGCTATTTGTGACTATTCAGAACAGGGGTTCTCAACCTGGGGTTCGCGAACCCCCAGGGGTTCACGAGAAGATTTCCAGGGGTACTTGAACGGCAGTTGAGTTTTCATGTGTTGCTATTTTTTATGTTCTTTACTATCAGAGGAAAATGCGTGCCGATTGAAACTCGCGTGTATTTTCCTTGATCTTGAGCTGTTGTGACTGAACAATGTGAAATCCACAGCTTTGCAGCAAAACTGAGAAATATTAAAAGACAATGTGTTGTTTGCTCCTCAAATTGAGAAACTTATTTGCAATAAACAGAGACAGTCTTCACACTAATGTTCTGTATAAATGAAATGAATACTTTTGTTTTTAAAAAAAATTTTAAAACAGTGGTTCCCAACCTTCCTGGCGAACCGGCAAAAAATTGAAATGAGTGGAATAGAAAATAATAACATATATTTGCGAAATGTAATGCAATGGTTGGCACTTGAAAACATTTCACATGAATAAAAACAAATAATGCACCGGCCAAAAATAGGAATAAGTAGATCAAACTTTCTCCTGAAGAAACTTATTCTCCTCGTTCTTATTCAAAAATATCAAAATACTTTGTTTGTTAACTGATCTCTTATTGATCCTTCTGCAGTTAATCAACGCATCAAACCTGCAGGGTCGCAACAAGCTCATATTTTACTGGATGTCATGGCGAAGCCCTGAAATATCATACTGTCCATGACTGTTTTCTGGTTTGAACAAAGAAATATTCATAACCTTTTAATTGGAAGTTCGTATTAAGCAGGAAAGGCATGCAGAAAAGAAAAAATACATGTGCTGATTTTTGACTTTCTGAATCTTGCCAGATTGACGGACGATTCGCGATGAATCGGAACAGAAAAAGTGAAAATTGTGATAACTCGGCACCAAGACGTCATCGGGCCATTGATACCACAAACAGAAATAAGTCGGCGAAAGAGAAATTGCATAATAAACAAACACAACGTCGTTATTTCGGGTTCGTAAAGCGAGTAAGACGACTGAAAAACAACAAAATTTTTCGCAGACCGACGAAAAAGCTCCCAGTACCAGTCCGCGGACTAAGAGTTGGGAACCACTGCTTTATTACACAGTTTTAAAATTATTAGTTAATATATTACAAGCTTGTTTGGTATCTGATTACTGGGGGTTCGTGTTGACTATTTCATGACTCGGGGGGTACTTCACAGGAAAAAGGTTGAGAACCCCTGATTTAGAAGAAATAGTTATCATAAACATATAGATTTACACACCTGAAATTTGGTAAAACTGAATCGATTCGACGGATTTATATCGTGTTAGGTGTTTCTGATTTTATTTACTTATTATATTCACTAAACGCATGGCAACAAGTTGTTTTGCCTGTGTCTGTAACTTACAATTCAGACACTCATTCCAAGCGTAAAAAAGACAAAATCATATGCATATAAGCATTCTATTACCTATCACCTCAACCAAAACGTAAGGAAATAGGTAGCATACATGCAGCAATACATAAAACACCAACGACACGCTCCATTTTATGACGTCATATAACGTAAATTTTAAAGCAGTTGGGAATTGTTCGAAGAAGTGCGAATATTTCAATATTCTGTATCCTTGTAATCTCGCAATAAGTAAAAATATCACGTTCAAACGTTCCCCAAATTTTTCAAGAGTCATCGACTATATAATTTATCTACTTACTATTCCCATTATTCAAAATTTTAATATACTACAATATATATAACTATTTTTATTATCCAGCAAATGGAACTGATATTCAGGGCCACTAGGTCAGGCATGTCCAACCTTTTTAGTGTCGCGGGCCACTTTCACATGAGGACATTCATTGCGGGCCGCAAACGTTTTGGCGTTCCGGAAGTATATTTGTACCAAGATGACGCACAACCTAAACTATACCGTGGTACACATACTATGTTCAGGTTGTGCGCCATTTTGGTACGGATACTTCGGGAGCACAAACGTTTTTATCCAACTAGAATACCAGCCCAGTGCCGATTTACGTTAGAATTTAAGCGTCGCTAAATCAAACGCCTGGATTGCACAACACTTTTGCGGATTTCTGAACACAACTTGCACACGGACAACACGAGGTTCAACTTAACTTTTATGCAAAATGCACTACCCTCAAGCAATTTACATTGGCATAAAAAATCAGCAGAAAAAAAGTGAAGTCAGCAATTCTTTTTTTTTCAACTAGTGCGAAACTTGCTTTTGAATATCATTGCTCAACTGTTTAATAATAACGGCTAGCTTTGGGTTTTTGTACCTCACAACCTAACAAACTGGCTTGTCAAATTGTCGTTTGACAGCCTACTCCTATATGCTCCGATTCCATAATTTTCAATTTCGAAGAGAAAGATTTGCACATATATGTTGTGCCTATTGCCGCTGCAATACGCATTGCCATTTGTCTCAGAATGAGAAACTTATTTTCATCGATATACTCACTGTAGAATTTAAGTTTCCTATCTTCTTGAAACAACTGTTTGCGTATATTCTGGGGCCTCTTCTACCCGAATGTCAACAGGACGCATACAAAATTTAATAAAGAGACCGTCGAATTTTGCAATTAAGCGAATCTCTCTTTAAATGCTCTCAACAACTTTGCGAATTCGTCTCAAATATGTGTAGAAATTTGTTGCTGTCGAAGTTATTTAGTAATGGAAAATGAACTGCTTTCTTTAATTCAAATTGAGTTTCATACAGTCCAAGCTTTGGGATAAATGCCTGTATATCTTCATAACAGTCTGTAATCAATTCCACAATGAGTAGAAGACCCATTGTATCTCCACAGATGTTGCATGCTTGAGTGGCCCTACGCAAAATCATATTCTGTGGCGTCAACAACGCTTTTCTTATGGAGGAGCTGCGTGAAATTGAAGCCTCAAATCTAGTAAGATTTGATATCATACCAGGACAATTTTATATTAAATATGATTATACGTCCGTAGTTATATAAAAACTTCAAATGGACCGCACGAATCCTTCCCGTGGACCACATGCGGCCCGCGGGTTGGACACCTATGCACTAGGAAACAGTGAAAATCCCATACTTCTTATTTTCAGTTATATATACTGCAACATAGCCCTCTTTATTGGCCATCATTGAAAATGAAAGGGAACCCATTTTCTCTTAGTTTATGAACAGTGAACAAAAATGAACAGTGCGTTTCAACGATGACAGAATTTAACAAAATGTCTTATCTCATAAACAACTAACTTACAGTCTATTCGATATTTTCAGTATTTGTAGATCAAAGAAGCTGTTTGATAGCCTTTAATTTAATCCTACTCGGTTGATATTCAACTTTAAAGTTTGCTGTTTTATCAAAATATATAGCAACTCCTTTATATGATGAAATCATGTATACACCTTCATATGACATCTGATATATACAATTATTCTGATGCTTGGCTGGAAGTATTCTGATGTTGGGGTGGACATTTGACTTTGACGCAGTGTTTGGAGTTTGAAATGTTTAATAGATATTTGTATCGGATTTTTATAAATATGAGATTCATACACGTTGTTGTTGTGAGGTTTACATATTTAGACAAAGAATGAGCGTCAGTTCCTGTATGTGACCGAGAAAAAAATCGCCATTTGTATCGATGCTTTTGTTTGCCACTTTGTACAAAATATACACACAAGGTCACAATGGGTTTATTTGATCTTTTAATTAGGTGCAAAATATTTTTATAAACTTGGCAGCTTCGATTTTGCATTATTACAACTTATCAAAGATTACAAAAAAAAAAATCAGCGTATGTCGTAGATATCTACATGAATTATAACACAATTTTGAACTTTTCAACTCACGAAAGATGTTCACACGTTTACAACATTAGCAGCTGTGAACGAAAGAAACATCGGGGTAGCGTTAACCAAAATATAGCAGTTCCTGAATATAGCAAACAAAAGCCAAAAAAAGACCGCCTGCAAAAGGTGTGAATTATTTGCCTTATAAACATGCAAGCTCCGTTCACAAATCATTATTCAACAGTTTTCTTCTCTACAAGCTTCAAGCAGCAAAGAGAGGTAAGTTTTTCAACAAAAATGTATTATGTATTTCATTCTAACGTTTTCATGTCATTCGAAATTCCTAATATAGGAACTGTCAATTAAGTGAGTATCCACAAAATAGTTTCAGTTTCTCTTATTATTGTTTGATAGTGTGGAAAAATGATCTATAAGAATCACTTAGTGCCCAAATTGAAAAATTACTTTTCACATCCATATTATTTTTCAGAAAACTTTCACCGAATAAATTAGCAAATCCACAACATGGAACACGCATTTGCGAAAGAGAACGAGGAGGTTCTCGAATTCTTCAACGTTTCCGAAACAACTGGTTTGAAACCAGAACAAGTCAGAGAAAATCGAAGAAAATATGGGCCTAACGAACTTCCAGTCGAAGAAGGAAAAAGCTTGTGGGAACTTCTTGTAGAACAATTTGAAGATCTTCTCGTCCGAATTCTGCTGTTAGCTGCCATTATTTCCTTTGTTCTTGCACTTTTCGAAGATGGAGAGGAAACCATCACTGCATTTGTTGAACCATTCGTCATCTTGTTGATTCTCATCGCTAACGCCGTCGTTGGAATCTGGCAAGAGCGAAATGCAGAAAGTGCCATCGAAGCATTAAAAGAATATGAACCAGAGATGGGCAAAGTTTTGCGTCAAGATCGTGCATCAGTGCAAAGAATTCGAGCAAGTGAGATTGTTCCTGGCGATATCGTCGAAGTGGCAGTTGGAGACAAAGTTCCAGCAGATATCCGAATTATTGCAATCAAGTCCACAACCCTTCGGGTCGATCAAGCAATTCTTACTGGTGAAAGCGTCAGCATTATCAAACATACCGATGCTGTTCCGGATCTCCGAGCGGTCAATCAAGATAAGAAGAATATGCTTTTCTCCGGAACTAACATCGCTGCTGGAAAGGCCGTAGGAATTGTTGTCGGCACTGGAAGTAACACTGAAATTGGAAAAATTAGAAACGAGATGGCCGAAACTGAAAACGAAAAGACTCCACTCCAGCAAAAACTTGATGAATTCGGAAACCAGCTATCAAAGATTATCACGATTATCTGCATCGCTGTCTGGGCAATCAACATTGGTCATTTCAACGACCCAATTCACGGTGGATCCGTCATAAAGGGAGCAGTCTACTATTTTAAAATTGCTGTCGCCTTAGCTGTTGCAGCAATCCCAGAAGGACTTCCAGCAGTCATCACAACTTGTTTGGCTCTCGGAACGCGACGAATGGCAACCAAGAACGCAATCGTCCGTAGCCTTCCATCAGTAGAAACTTTGGGATGTACGTCGGTCATCTGCTCCGATAAGACCGGTACCTTGACCACAAACCAAATGTCCGTCTGTCGCATGTTTGTCTTCAAAGCCCTTCAAGCGCAGCAAGCAACCTTCAACCAATTCACAATCTCTGGATCAACCTACGAACCTGTTGGGGATGTTATGCTTGATGGAAAGAAAATCAATCCTGGCAGCTACGACTCACTCGTCGAACTCTCTACCATATGTTCACTGTGCAACGACTCATCTTTGGATTACAATGAAGGCAAAGGTATCTACGAAAAAGTCGGAGAAGCCACTGAAACTGCTCTCACCGTTCTTTGTGAAAAAATGAACGTATTCAACACCGACGTAACTAGTCTAAGCAAAGCACAACGAGCCAACGCTTGTTGTCAAACCATCAAAAACATGATGAAGAAAGTGTTCACTCTTGAATTCTCTAGAGATCGTAAATCTATGAGTGCATACTGCACACCAGCCAACTCAGATTCTCCAATTGGACCAAAGATGTTTGTCAAGGGAGCACCAGAAGGTATTTTGGATAGATGCACTTACGTTCGAGTAGGAAACCAAAAGATGATGATGACACCCGCCATTCGTGAACAAATCATGTCCGTTGTAAAAGAATACGGAACTGGAAAAGATACTCTTCGATGCATTGCACTAGGAACCATTGATAATCCAGCCAATCCTTTAAGCATGGATTTGACAGAATCAACTAAATTTGCCAACTACGAAACAGAAATCACATTTGTTGGTGTTGTAGGCATGCTTGACCCACCTCGTACCGAAGTCTACCAAGCGATCCAAGAATGCAAAGCTGCAGGAATTCGAGTTATCGTCATCACTGGAGATAACAAAGCAACCGCTGAAGCCATTTGCCGCCGCATTGGAGTTTTTGGTGAAGACGAATGTACTGAAGGATTGGCTTACACAGGTCGCGAGTTTGATGATTTGTCTAAAGACGAACAATTTAAAGCTTGCCTCCGCGCACGACTTTTTGCTCGCGTTGAACCATCACATAAAAGCAAAATCGTCGAATACCTTCAAGCTAATGGAGACGTTACTGCTATGACTGGTGACGGTGTCAACGACGCCCCAGCTCTTAAAAAAGCTGAAATCGGAATTGCTATGGGAAGCGGAACTGCAGTCGCCAAAACCGCCGCAGAAATGGTTCTTGCTGACGACAACTTTACTTCAATCGTAGCAGCTGTTGAAGAAGGACGGGCAATTTACAACAATATGAAACAATTCATTCGTTACCTAATTTCATCCAACATTGGCGAAGTTGTCTGCATTTTCCTCGCCGCCGCTCTCGGCGTTCCTGAAGCTCTCATTCCAGTTCAACTTCTTTGGGTCAACTTGGTCACCGATGGTCTTCCAGCTACTGCTCTCAGCTTCAACCCACCAGATTTAGACATCATGGACAAGAAGCCACGGTCTACTAAAGACACCCTTATCAACGGTTGGTTGTTGTGTAGATATTGCGTTATTGGAGTTTACGTCGGAGCTGCAACTGTAGGAGCATCCACATGGTGGTTCCTCTACTCCGAAACCGGTCCACAAATGTCTTGGTGGCAAGTAACTCACTATATGTCGTGCCACTCAAGCCCAGAATTATTCGAAGGAATCACTTGTAAAATCTTTGAAGATCCTCATCCAATGACCATGGCTTTGTCAGTCCTCGTCATCATCGAATTGTGCAACGCTCTTAACTCCGTCTCTGAAAACCAATCACTTCTCGTCATGCCACCATGGCAAAATCTTTGGCTCATCGGTGCTATCCTTCTCTCACTATCACTTCATTTCGTTATCCTGTACGTCGACCCTCTTCCAATGGTGTTCCAGATTTGCCCACTAAGCTTTGCAGAATGGATGATGGTTCTCAAGATCTCTCTTCCAGTCATTATCATCGACGAAGGACTAAAATACGTTGCTCGCAACTACGTTGAGGTTGAAAATAAGAAGAAAACTGATTAATTTCTCAGAAAACTAATAATATATCCATATTAAAATAACTCGAAATTTACAATTAAAACGGCGAGAAGTGGGTGTCTTCAGAGACACCCTTAGATGTTTGAGTTAAAATATTTTGATGGTTCATCATGGATAACATTTTGTTTTAGTTTTTTTATTGAGATGCATGTCACGTTTCTTTCTTGTCTTCTGGTCGATGTCAATCATCTTGTTGAATAAATTCTCGCCACATATATAATGTATTAATTTCTATTGCTAGGATAATTGATCTTTATAAAGACCAAGTGGTTTTCAACAAAGACTTGTTCAGGGACAGCAAGTCTAAGCGGTACACTGCGTAAAATACCATACTATATCACAATTCCTATAAACATGGGCGTGCCAAACTTTTCTACTGTCCGGGGCGTGTTTCCAGATTTGCTCCAGCAGTTTCGTGTTTCCAATAATGATGTCCTTTATCCCTAACTTCAGTAATAATTCGGGGGATAAACAGATTATAGATGTCGTTATACATGACGCCAGTAATTGGTCGTAGTTATCTTACAATGCCAAAGACCTTACACAGAAAAACAAGCAACGTCTTGTATGAAATCCAAAACAGGAATGAATTTATTATCCACGATAACACGCGCTATTGCGCGAGAGAAATAATACGAGGAAAACGAAATCAGCGAGGCATATCGTAATCAGTCGACGCTTCAGATGCGTCGGCAGTACAAACACTTATTATCACACAATAAAGGACAAACACTCGTTATTATATAACTGGCGCATCCCTCCTTCGCTCCCATAATGGGTATTACTATGAAAAACATTACTAAAACTTAGTAGAATGACGAGAAAGTATAGGTCACTTAAAAACCGAATGCCATAGTAAACGAAATTGTAATCAAAACAAATGCAAAACCGGGCTTATTCTAAAATGTAATCACTCAAATATGAAGGCTTACGATGCTCACGACGGGGGTAGCGAGATTGTGGTGCTGGGCCATCTTGCAAAAATAATTCTGGTGGTCCAGGAGGGGGAACATTCGCAGTAGGTAATTGGGGGAGTAAATCTACAAATGAGCTTGGTAGTAGCGGAGGATAGAAATCCTCAGAGTTCTCGTCATTGATTGTGGTATCTGGTATAACTTGGGAAGGGGAAGGTAATGTGGGTGAAACTAAAAAACAATCAGACTTTCGAACTTTGTACGAATTGGCTCGAAGCTGATTACCAATGAATTTTTTTATATTACACCAGTCACCATTGACAGACACAACCAAGTACCTGTCCCGGGCTTTAGTTTTTTTTGCGGTCAGCATATAAATATACAAGATCACCTACACGAATCATGGGAGATATAGGAATAGGGTTACGGCATTTTGACTTTTGGCTGGGCTTATGGTTCTGGAGTCGACTAGCATATTGTTTTTCAATCATGTGTCTGTCTTCCATAGGAATTTGTTGATTAGTGAATTGGTCTCTTTGGGTCCACATTTCCCGTGATGATAATCCCCTCTTGCGTAGTCGTGAATTGAGATTAGCAAGGGCCACTGATAATGTGACATGAGAAACAGGCTGATTGTCCGGTGCAAGTCTTAGTAATTCTTCCTGCACTTCTTGTACGGCTTTTTCAGCAATGGGATTTTTATTGATGTTCTTCGAATGGCCAAGTTCGAGTGTAAGTCGATGCTTGGCTAGTCTGTTATTTTTTGCCATTGAAGCAAAGGCAGGAGCAGAGTCTGTGCGTATTAATGCTGGTGGGCCATCAAGAGGGGTCATATCCAAAGTTAAACACACAAGACCATTACGTAAAGTCTCTTCTCTTTCATTTTCAATTAAGCAGGCTCGTGTGAAAGAGGTAACACATTCTCGTATGACTAATATCAATTGTTTTCTTTGTTTAATAACGTCTGCAGCAAACATTGATCCGACGGATGGTAAGTTATCACTGGTAGTTTGTGGTATGGAGCGGGACACAAACTTTTTTAGGGAGGCACATTGATGGCAGGCATTAGAAACATGTTTAATCATAGCATCAGAATCAAGAGCAAAAAAATAACGATTAAATACAGATGCCAATTGGTGAGCGGAGGGGTGCTCTAATTGAATATGTAAAGCAGTTAAAATAGCATCAACGAAATGACGTGGAATAATAATACGATCTTGGCGAGAGGAAAAAGGGCGAGATGTATGATAAACAAGTAATCCATCACTAGCAATAGTGGCATGCATGAGGTAACGTTTCACGTCAATGATCTTAGTCAATTTTTTTGATGGTCTGGTGCCTTGTTGTAGGTGAGCGTGGACCCGCCGAAGATCCGCACATTCTTTTTGAATCGTAAGCCAGGCAGATCTAGAAGTAAACGGCATTTTAGTGTGACCTGATAAAATGTCGCGAACAGAAACCTCACGCATGACAGGTTGTTGCTTGATATCATCAATAAAAGCACAAATTTGACAGTTATTAGTACAACACTCCGGTGCATTACGACTAGCAAAATCTGAGGGGAGATTTTTAGAACCCGCTAAGTGCTCCAGGGTGACTTGATGGTCTCGCAACCTGTCGCACTGAAAGTGCGAATGCACAGTCTAAATCAGAAAACGTTGCACGTGAGGTGGAAGTTAAAATTCTATGCGTGGGAGACCGATTGATGAGCATTTCCACTATGTAGGGTAGGGCTGATGAGGTAGGTGATTAGCACGTTAGTCAGGTATCCCTGTCCGCATGACGCAGAAAATTTTTGGAAACGATCGGGCCAGAGGAAAGGGGTCAAAACGGGGTTTTTGTTGCCCGAGGCTGTTCATTGGTCAATCAGCTGTCAATCAAGTCACGCTAGAGTGATTTAGGGGTTTAGAGGCCGTTTAGCTAAGTTTCCGGGGCCGGAAAGCGTTTGCCCGAGTATTAGGAATTTTTCCAAGTCTTTTTGGCGGTGGGGGCTGTGCCCCCACGCCCTCTTTGGTGAGAAAACCCGTGCAAAGCCACGCCCACTTAGGTTCTATTGTTTTTAGGGAATTCTGAGGCATGTGAATGGGGTTTTGGGCCAAGATTGGCCTAATTCTCAAAGAGTATAATTATTTGAAATTTTCTTTACTGAAAAATCGGTGTTTCCCCCTCCCAATCGCCCTCCAGTGGCGTAAGAAGGTTGCGCACTTAAAAATGGAGCTATTGAGAAATGAAATAGATAGGTATGGTTGGAAAAATTAGTTTAACATTGTTTTGAAGAAATTTTTGTTCTCTTACTCCCCAGTCACGCTTTAGTGATTTTGGCCTATTGCAGGCCTCTGGAAGGACATATTGAGAAAGTGAAAGCATGGGCATATTTGGAAAAATTATTGGAATCCATTTTAAAAGGAATTTTTTTTCTCCAACTCCTCAGTCATGCTCCAGTGATTTTACGTTATATCTCGAGAATGGTAATAGGTAGAGATGCCATATTTGGGTCATACAAGTTAATTGAGGTCTAGTTTATGTCAAAAAAATTTCGTCACAGTTGAGCGATCACGGGCCCTAAAATTAATAAAACTTGATTTCCATTGGGGATGATCAGTTTCTAACCTAGTATTTGAACTATTTAATGAACTAAAAAGGTCGGGGGCACTGCGCCGGACGAATGCCGCCATTCGTCCGGCGCAACGACCAGGGTCTTCCAACAAAATCAGAACAAACACCTACCTTCATTTTACCTTACTAAACACATTTCTTTACATTTCCCCTCGCGGGTAGCGAAGCGACCGACCCCTGGATATTGACTTGTGACTGATAAAAATGTTGAGAGTCTTGGGCTAGCTGAAAACTCTCCTCGGCATAGCTTTTGAAAGGCCTGAACGCAAGGCTTACTGTCTGTTAGAACCCGTGTAGTATTTGCAGATTGGATGATATAGGGAGCAAAGTGCTTGATAGCAGATGCAATACTGAGGGCCTCGATTTCGCATGGAATCCAGGAAGTGAAGCGAGACTTAAGTTTAGCGCTAAAAAAACCAGCAAGGTGTGTCTCGCCCTCACGTGTAATATACAGTGTGGCTCCTAAACCCGGATGTGAAACTGAACCATCAGTAACTAGCCACAATAAATCACTGGGTCTTGGTAATGTTATAGACTTGTTGCTAGATAAATGAGATTGAGCAGAGTGAAAACTTTGACGTAGCTCATCATTCCACAAAATACTTTCTTGGGAAGCACGGTTATCAGTGACTTTTTGTAGGTCACACAAAAAATTTGCACATTTGGGTATGACTCTAGCAAGAACACGGTAAGCTCCTAAAAAGGACCGCATAGCTGCTACAGTTTTAGGTGGGTCGCATGTGGATAATGTGGCAATACGATGTGGGGATGCTTTAATTATGCCTTCTGACCATATCCAACCAAGGATGGTGGTTGACTTGGGGGCTATAATAGTTTTGGAAGCAGATAAACATAAACCACATTTTGATAAGGCAGAAAGCACACTACTCCAGTTACGGAGCAATTCCTCAGGAGTATTTCCCCCACAGTATAAATCGTCTGCTATTTTAGTTACGATACCAGCCTGTAATAGGTCACCTAAAACCCGGCACATAAGCTCTTCCAATGCAGTTTCAGATCCAGGCATTCCCATAGCAGATCTGGTATATACCCGGGTACCACGAAATGGTGTTACCACACCACAATATTTCATAGACTTCTTTTCAAGTGGGATTTGATAGAAGGCACTTGTGAGATCCGACACGACTATGTATTTCCAACATGCAATTTTGCGCAGAGTAGAGTCAACATCAGGTAAAAGGGAAGGTTGTGGTTTTGAGTATCTCCCAACGTCTGCGAATGCAGTGACTAGACGATAACCCCCCGAGGCTTTCTTGACTAAGAAGGAGGGGTTTAAATATTCCACAGTGACCCCAACGCATTCTGGTTTTTGGAAAACACCCAATGCCTCAAGTTCATCAAACTTTTGCTGTAACTCAACTAATTTATCACGCGAATATTGAGGTATTCTACCTTTCCGTTGAGGGGGCTGGGTAGGTCCCATATTAACCACAGCTTTGAAGGGACCAACAGCTCCATTGTAACCGGGAGGGCTCGGGTTAAACACGCTATCAAACTTTTGGTGTAAGTGTTGAAATTTTGCGACAACGTCTGAGGGCAGGATATGTTCAGGATCGACTTTTATGTTGGTTGCAAACGGAGGGGATGGTCGAACGAAGGAATTATGGTTGGTAGACTGGGTAATGGATTGTTGAGATATAACAGGTAAAAGTTGGGCGAATTGTTGATGCTTGTCAATACGTGCAGGTTCGCATGATGAATTTTGAATAAGGATGTAATCGTTATGGCGGGGAGCAATGCAAGGCGTTAACCATTTTTCAGTGGTAACGGACTGACAATCGATGCGAGGCTCGACAGCCACCTCGTCAACATCAAGCAAATGATTTGGTAAGGGAACTGTCATAGTTTCGCCAGGCCAAAGGACGCGTGACTTGCTCGAGTGTCTAATAATATGAGGCGGGTGACTAGCCTCACTATTGAGACGTTTATCATCATATGGCAGTGGAGGAAGGTTGCGAATACTGATGGTATGCTTTGCAGGTCGCAAAATGATATCGTTCTCGACCATAAACGGGGTGCCAGCCAAAATGTCGGAATCTAAATGCTGAACTACCAGTGCTTTAAAAGGCATAGAAACAGCATCAAGTGATAGGGTAATAGCTGTTTCGCCAAGTACATTTAAAAATGATGATCCGTCAGCCTGTAGAGCTTTTTGAGAGCACTTTGATATTATGGCGCCCAAAAGACTAGCAAGGGATAGAGATATCATATTACACTCAGCACCAGTGTCAAGCACGACACGGATGGGTATTCCTTTACAATACAAGACCAGGTGAGGGCAATGGCATATGTTAACACGTCGTGAGCGGTAAATATAATGATTAGAGTTAGGATTTACCTCAGGACAGTCAGAAGATGCTGAACTTATGTCCACCAAAGGATCCATGTCATCGTGATCCGTACTGATCATACGTGCTTTAGCCATGAATTGCTTATCGTTGTCAGGAAGGAAAGGGCAGCGGCTCAGGTAATGCTTGAATGGTCGACCCCCTTCCTTGCACAGAGGGCATGATTGACGTATGTTAATGTTGCGGCGGCTGGAACTATCCTTCTTTGAATTAAACTTTTGAGAGTGAAGAGATCTACACACTTTGGCATATTCCATGGAGGCCAGCTCGTCTAATAGCGACTCGAGCGCTCCTGAAATTTCAGGTTTGATAGAAGCTAGTGTGCGAGAACGCAGCTCAGTTCCATAACGTTGCTTAACGAGCATTGGTAAATCCTGGTGCAACAAAGACAACCAGAAATAAACGATTGTATTTTCCAAGGTAGGAGTTAAGTCTTCGTCTTCCGTTGGCACAGAGCCGTGATGAGTAATTGAGCTAATTGTGGTAGCGAGGTTGTCTTCAAAAAAAGACACTAGGCGTTGGTAAAGGTCTTCTGCTCTTTCCCCATCTTCAAGTTTGATATTGGCTAACTCCAGGAGATGGGCGCCGGTAGTATGGAACCCAAAATGCATGCGGAGCGCTTGCCAAATACAGTTCAAAGATGTGGAATTCTTGACGATGGTGTTGCGAGACATAATCGGACAATAATTTGCTATTTGTCCGAGCATCAACTCTAAAGTGGCGTTTTTTTGAATTGCCGACTTTCTGCGGTCTTCAGCTACTGCCTCTCCATCATCGGTCAGACCTCTCAGTGGGTTAGCTTTGGTTTGTTTCTCCCATTGGACGTCAGGGGCAAGAAAAGGCGTAAAGTTATTATCCAGGGCTAAAGTGTATAGCAGTTTTTTTCTCCATGTTTCGAAGGAAGTGATTGTCTCACATTTCTTCAGAGGCCACTGCTTTGGTGCTTTAACAGCTGCCATTGTTAACCTCAGTATAGGAGATATACAGCGTAGAATTCGTCTTCGCTGCCACCACGCCAGTAATTGGTCGTAGTTATCTTACAATGCCAAAGACCTTACACAGAAAAACAAGCAACGTCTTGTATGAAATCCAAAACAGGAATGAATTTATTATCCACGATAACACGCGCTATTGCGCGAGAGAAATAATACGAGGAAAACGAAATCAGCGAGGCATATCGTAATCAGTCGACGCTTCAGATGCGTCGGCAGTACAAACACTTATTATCACACAATAAAGGACAAACACTCGTTATTATATAACTGGCGTGAGAATAAATCAATTAGAAGTCAAGTAAGATAGAAAAGTTTGTTTTATTAAATAAATATTAAAACTAAGCAACAAGCTCACATGTATAAGTTCAAACTCATTTACCAAAAAAAAAAAAAAAATAGCAAGTCACTTTTTGCTACGTCCTATCCCTACTTTGCTGGCAATAAATTGAGTAACCGATCGTGAGTAATAAACAGTATGCAATGCACAAAGTTTGCATGGTTGTAGACATTACCTCGTTTTCCTATATTTGTTAGTTTTTGGTTGTGTTTTGGAAATTTCAGAACGAATCAAAGAACTCAATAATTAGGTGATAGCACACTTGCACCCTTGTACTTTTGTACCCTCGGACATTTGCACATTGGATATTTTTACTCACAGACATTTGCACCAAGATACATTTGCACCCTGGTACAGTTGCACCCACATACATTTGTGCCCTGGACATTTTTACCTATAGACATTTGTCCTTATTTCGGCCCAGATGGCTATAGAACCTATTTCACTTCAATGACGGGTATCAAAGGGTGTAACTGTTTACGGGCGCACAATTCCATTGATGCAAGTGTCCATAGATGCGAATATCCGTGGGTACAAAAGTTCATGAGTGCAAAGGTACGTGAGTGCAAATGCAAGCGGGTGCAAATGTACTGGTCGTAAACGTCCGTAGTTTTAAATGTATTTGGGTTCAAAAGTACTGGGCGCAAATGTCCGTAGGTTTAAACGTATTTGGGTTCAAATGTACGTGGATTCAAATGTCGTGGTTGCAAATATCCATGGGTGCAAATGTTAATGAGTGCAATCTGTCTGTGGGTGCTAAAATCCGCGGGAGCAATTGTTCATAGTTGCAAATGTCCGTAGCTGGAAATGTGCGTGGGTGCAAAGATAATTAATAGAACTCAATGGTTATACTCTCTTCTTATATGGTTTAATTACAGTAATCGAAAAATAACTGTGATAGACAAGGCTAAAACTTTTCTACCGGTACTTTCAAATAACAGGGTTGAATGTTTTGAATTAAAAGATTGTTTGAAACATATAAACTAGTTTTTAGGCGCTAACACGCGAAACCATCTTTAAAATAAGCACCAAAAATGTTGCTATTGTAAAAGAGGATATTAAGGATTTTTCTGGGGTCAATGGTCAGAGAAACATCCATTGTTGACTCACATTCACCACAGTCAGTTACCAAGACTAAACACATAATGCAAGCTTTCAAATAAATAAAAACACATCGAGAAAAACATGTGTAATAACGCCAACAATACAGCTTGGTTCTGCTGCCCCCTACATCGTGCTCCACCTGTTTCGTCCCCTATAGGCACACCCCTGCCTATAAAGTATTGTATTATACATCCTCACAACATATAAAATCACCTGGTACTAATTGAATACAATTTCATGAATACAGTTTACAGGAATGAATTGTGCCTACCTTAAAGTTTTTATGATTTAGTGTTTTTCTTATGAATGTTATAAGATGTGTGCTTGCTTGCAAAAATTGTAAGAACTACATTCTATTCCAGGTTAAGCTACAACAATATTCTAATAACAAGGTTGTGTCTGATATGTACGACATCATTTTGAAAGGGACAAATCTTTATCGGTGAAGTAACAATCTACGTTGTAGGCGTCAACTTGAAATACGTGTATATATTTGTTGTGGAATGAGCTACTTTGAGAGTTTGTGGTAACGAGACATATTAGTTTATGGTTTTTTTCAGTTGTTCTGATACTTTTAATTTGATTAATACCCTACAATACGATCTACAGAAAGTCTAGTAGTATAAGCGTCCTGACGGTTTTATCTATAAGTATTCAATGAATTTGGAAGGGTTGGCGCATCGTTTCAATCGTAAGAAAAACGTTTGTCCTTGCATCGCTGATAAACTGCGCGGGATGAGGGATACCTATGTACACTTCTTGCCGTTGTAAGGTGTTTCATGTAACCGTCGGTTGGTTACAGCCTCCTCCAGCATCAAGTCTATGTATCTGAATCAAACAACTGTATGTTTAACTATTTCCATACTCTACTCAGACTGATAACCTTGAAACCATTTAGCCCTGGGCAACACCAATGCGGCTAATTGATTGGTCGAGCTGAATTGGATTAATTAAATGCTTTTATTTTAATAGGGTGGTGAAAGGAGAAAAATTAATATTTTTTTTTCGTCTTCAGATAGCAATACACATTTGACAATTTTGTAGTGATAGCAAATTTTTGCATGGCTTTTACCTTGAGATATTTTGATCTGACTAGTAAACATATTCTTGATAACACCGTAAATTTAGCATTCAAGTTTTGACAAATTTGAAGTACAGATTCAGCATTTGAGACACATATCGCTATAAAATAGTTTCAAACGTTTTTCGATTCGATTGCGACGCCGCATTTTCTATTCAAAATTTTATCAACTTTTCATTTTTGCCAAGCTTGTCCTAAACTTCTTCGGCCAAGGATAATATTATAAGGATAATTTTACTCACTGTACCAGCTTAGGGTTAGGCCATGATTTTGTTACGATTCTCCTTATATTAGTTCTATTTCAAGTTCGGGGACTGTTTGTGTTAGCCAAGTGAATTCAGTTCCTTTACAGAACTTGATGTAAAGTAGGCAAACAAAATTAATTGCCTCCATATTAGTACACATACTTATGGAGTGCCGAATCTCCAGTACCGCATTTCTCTTTGCATATTACGCACCAATAGATAATACGCATGTGAATTTTATCATCTCCAACGCAAAAAATTTTCCATTCTCCATGCATAAAACGGGTTTGAGTTACCTGTACCATGTTCCTGTGATTACCAACTCTACAGCTCCTATTTATAAAAGTATTCGCAAATTGTCCCGAGAACGATTCGAATAATTTGCTATTGGATTTTGAATATTCGGTTCGCTTGAACAGCCCTACTTATGAATAAGATATGTGTGAATTAATAGCCAGTTCTGTCATGACATAATACTTATTCTGAAGACAATAATTGACAGCGAAAGTGCGAATTGTACGCGGATAATTACGATATGGTGTTGATTATGCGGCTTTTGAAATGTTTTAAATCTAGTTTTACACATGCAATAATGTGTGATTTAAAAATCATAAACACTAAAATTTTACAGCCTTCGAAATCTAAAATAATGGAATGTTTGTGGAATTTAGTATTGATTTACGTAGAGGAGGGAGAATTTAGAGACGTTAGTGGTAGATTCGATTCCGTTACGAAATTCAAACCAAACACTGTTTTAGTTGATTATATAGTGCAGTCGATCTTTTTTTTTATTTATATATGAATTTTATCAAATGTCAACAAGTATTATAACTAATTTAGCCAGATATAAACAAATAAATGCTTCACGTTTGAAACATGTCTGTTCTGTAATTTGTCTTTATTACTTTTACTGGGAGAGCGAACGAGTTTGATCGTTGTGGTTATGAGTGCCTTTCGATTCATGCTATTTGTGAGTATGTAGAAGAAATAATTATGATAAAAATATATATTATTCACAGCGCTTGTCATTTGGTAAAACTGAATCTATTCGACGGCTTTATATCGTATTGGGTATATTGTTTTGCTTGTATCTGTAACTTATAATTCAGACACTCATCATAAAGGTAAAAACACGAAACCGTATTCAGATGCGAATTCTATTACCCACCATCGATTATCCAAGGCCATCGAGTAACAGTGAAGATCTATATGGGCTACTTTATATTTTTGTCACATTCGAAGAATTTATATTTTTCAGAAACAGCCAACGAGATTTCAATTATAACGTGCAAAGTGCAATTCAACGACATCAAAATATTGTCAAAGTTTAGCGAAATGTCTTATCTCATGAACAACTAAACTACAGTCTATTTCATATTTTCAGTACTCGTAGATTAAAAAAGCTGACTGAAGACTCTTAATTTACTTCAATTTTTTTCTCTGAGTCCTACGCGGGTCTTTATTGAACCCAAAAGTTTGCTGTTTTCTTCTAATATATGGAAACATCTTTATGTTAAATCATGTAAACACACTCGCATGACATCTGGTACAATTACTCTAAATACTCGGCTGGAAATGTTCTGATATTGTGGTAGTCATTTGACCTTGCATATTGACACAATGTTTTCGGTTTGAAATGTATGATTGGGCTTTTTATCGACTGTTTATGAATATGAAGGTCATCACGCCGTTGTTGTGAGGTTTACATCTTTAGACAAAAAAAAGGGCGTCAGTTCATGTATGTAACCGGAAAAAATGTTGACCATTTGTATCAATGCTTTTGTTTGTCACTTTGTACAAATTGTACACACAAGGTCACAATGAGTTTAGTAGATTTTAAAATGAGGTGGAAAATATTTAGCAAAACTTGGTTGAGTATTAATTAATACAATTCACCAATGGTTACAAAATAATGAAATGCACAACAATCAGCGCATGTCGTATATATATATATATATATATATATATACAGGGTGGCTCAAAAGTAGGTATACAGTTATTTTATTTATTTTTTATTACCTTTCAAGCAGCTAGAAAACTAATGTAAAATTCACACTAGATTTATTATCTAAAAAAATAAGCAATTTTTGTGGTACTTAACAAGTAACATAAAGTGAACTGCAAGTAGCTTCAAAGCATATAAAATAGTTTAATAACTGTATACCTACTTTTGGGCCACCACCTACTTTTGGGCAGATATATATTTATATATATATATATTTATGCAGTAAAGTTTGGTGATATACTAATATAACCAAATTGCGCCTATAACAATCTTGTAGCAAAAATGCTACAGCGACACTGACAGCGGGTCAGAGTTCACAGCTAACCTGAAAATATGACGTGACTTCACGTGAGTGTGTAAATTGACAAGACGGCAGATAATCGGAAGTCATTTACCAAAAGTCCGATATCAAAAATCAGAATGGAGAAAAGGAATATGTTCTAACTGAATTCACGGAATTAGTAACACCAGAGAATGGAAACGAAATATCAAAGACTAACAAAACAATCCATAGAAAAATAGTGAATGAGAAAATGTTTTTAAATTTATTGAATTGTTCTGAATTGTTTCCCTAAAAATTTCTCAATCTGGAGGAAAATTATAAACAAAAACAAAAAAAACTTTTCAGAGTTTGAGGCAATTTCTACCAAAGTATAAATCAATTTTGAAATAGCCCCCAATTATGAGACTCGCTTGGAGTCTTGATATGATAAGATGTAATTCTGTGAAAATTATGAAGCTAGTTGGTTAAAAATTGTCACCGACTTTGGTTAAAAATAAAATTTAATTTTTCATTCCTAAAATTTTTATTCCATAATTTACATATTACTGGATTGATTCTGATTTATAATAATTTCGGAGCATACGAAGTCATTCATATTCGGCGATAAAATGAAACCATGGGACATCAGTTAGATAACATCTGTATCAATAATTTCAGTCAACACGGACAGCAATGAAATCTTCAACCGTTCATTGTTCCATCAAGCAATCTTGGAGAACTATGGAACAAAAAAAGAATTTGATTTCAAAGCGATATTTCACAACGAGAGTTAGAAACACTTATAATTTTTTACGAGTATTAAAATAGATTTTACGAGGAGCTTGTGGCCTTTCTTTGAGCAAAGTCACATCACTTCAGGTTATTTTTAAATAAACCGAGAATGATATTCACATTTTTATTTTGAGTGTTGCTATTGTGTGATTTTGTAAACTTGGTTAAATGACCTAGTTTACGTAAAAATTATTGTTGATTTCATTAACTCGACTAGCGAGATTTCAATTTGTACTTTTAAGGTTGACACCGTGTTAGAAAAAAAAAATTGGGGCATCGTGTGGATATGTGATAATTGGTAGAAAAACAATATTTTAAAAATACCCAATTTTTGTAACCATAAACCAATATTAACTGCTTCAAAAAGATATGATAATGTAGCAAAATTGTTTCAAACTCTAAAACTAATTTTTAAAATCATTGTTCCAAAATTATCAAAAAAAGGTTGGAAAACAACTGGACACAGAAAATTATACTGACTGTCCTTGTTATCGCCAAATTACTGTAACGTGATACTTTTAAGCAGAAGATTGGCCCATAAAAATGGTGAAACAATATCAAGGTAATTCCTTCACCGACTATTATGAAGTTGGCGAAGCTGAATACAAGAAAATTCGTTTTATATTCCTCTTTACTTTTTAAAGTTGTCGACATAATGGACAAAGCCTATACACAATTGGATTACCATTTCTATTCTTCAGAGTATTAGGTTGGTTACCTGGCCGATGTTATTCGGCTCAATATTTGATTGAACATATATTTTTTTGGGGACGAAATCCGTGTGAAAAACGTGGAAACTGTAAGGTAGGCTGCTACCGATTAAAGTCACAGATGAACAACAAATCAATAATATTTACTGGGGTCTAATTAAATTTTTTACCCTTCACAACTTTACAACTTTTAAATATTTTTACACAAATTTACAATAACAGTCTATATCAATTCCGGTATTATGATCATTTTTCAAACGATCACAGTAGTTTCGTGTGTTGCACTTTTTTCGTGACTATGAAATCACAAGACAGCAGGCGATCGGGAGTCATTTACCAGAAGTGCAATACTGAGAATCGAAATGGAAACAAGAATATATATATGTTGAAAATCAATTGAAGAAATTAGTAACACCTATTAAAAATGGAAACGAAATATCAAAAACAATAAAAACAATCCCGCAAAGTTATAACTGATAAAACTTTTTAAAATTTTACACAGTTTTCTGTAAATATTGCTGTGCCCAAACGTCTTGACTTTTCTCTGAATTCCTTCCTCTTTTTCAAAGAAAAATAATGAGAAAAATCATCACACTTTTCACAAAATTTAATGCAATTTCCATCAACGTACAAATCAATTATAAAATAGCCCAATAACTATAAGTTTTGGGCTTTTGGTGGACCCACTTGCAATTCATTTATTTCTAATATTTTAGGCTTTACGTGGGAACTTGCGACACAGTTAAATTAACATTACTTAAGGTTGTTTGTGAATGAACCGACAATGTGATTGAAATTTCGATTTTGGTATTCACTATTTTTTGATCAAGTACGTAATTGTAGACACCCACCAATCCGCAGGTCATATCCTCCGAAAATCCCTTCATCGAATGTATGATAATAAAACCGGCCAAATTCTTCATCATTTTGAATCGTGATCTAACTGGTAAATCTGATTAAATGAACGTAATAATAGCTGTAGTTAATCCGCGCAAAGATAAAAAGGCGTTTTCTATATAGATAAAATTACTCCTGCGAGTAGAACTGCATTAGGCCCCGGGCCATTTACATGCCAAACGTAAATCCCCTTTATGGACGTAATTTTCACTGTTTGGAAATTATAAAAAAAATATGTTTGTAAGTAAAATTATAAACAGGTTGACCATACACGAGCGAATGCATAGAATTTATTATTACAATAATATAATATTTCAGACTATATTCCGAAGTAAAATGATAGCAAATTTCATACTAGAAATAGCAAATATTCCATCATCGGTGCAGTTGAAAATCGCTCAATTTCGTTGTTAATTACAATAGTGTGCTCATTAATTTATTTTTCCACGACGCCAGTATCTTTTCAATAAACTAAGGAGATATATTGCCGCGGATATCTGCCTGTAGGCTACTTTGTAATTTGTTCCGAACAATTGACTGGTCATTATTATCCAGCGGGCAATACAACAAATAATTTAGTACAGGCAGTGAATCGTTAGAAAAGGATAGTAAAATATTTAGTTACCGTTGTTGTTGTAAGATTGTAATATCCACCATCATGACGAGTATAGAAGCTTATTGATAAAAAATTGATGTAATTGAAAATTTATTTTTACCAAATAAGCCGAAATTATTAAATTAATGGTGACATTACATTATTAATCAATGACTGATGCTTCATCTTTGATTTTATTTTTTTTTCACTGACAGTTTTTTTTCTGCGGGTTGACGGTAAAGTTTACTTTCTACTCTCCCGATCCCTAACAAGTTATTGGCGTCGGTTGTTTTTTAATTAGATTTGCGGTTCGCTGTTTTTTTATTCAAATATGCAACGGACATTAACTCAACAACTCCGCGTTACATCAGCAACATATTCCTAAAGAAAAGGGACAAAACAGGAGTTTTAGTGGTACAAACAAGAGAACCATTGCAATTTGTTTAAAACTAAACATTAACTAAATCATTTACCTTTGATTCGTCATAATTTTTCACGTATTTTTTTTTAATTTTATGTATAATTACCGCGCGTGTTGACAGAGGAAGTTGAAGACGAGTCATTAGTGAGTATAATCATCGCAACAGCTCATGGTGTTATATTTCATAATATTTTTATTATAACCTACATAGATTAAAGTTCAAAACTTGACACTATATCAACAGGATGACAAAAGTAACATACAAGCTACTGATTAAGGTGAGTTATAATTTCTAAGTCAACAATATTTAATTTATCAGAAGTGTTAATTGAAAAGACGCTTTGAATTTATGTTGAGCTTTCAGGTAGTATGTCACGATATTTTTTCATCCCCTTTTTTATTTGTCCAATCTTAATTCCGAGGCGGGTTCTTAGAATTTTCTTCCATTTGCTTCTACTCCCAATCTTATGGCTATTACTTGTGAGTTGTGACTGGTCGATGTTCCCGCCTACCGTATCAACTTCAATATAAACGCGAGAATTTTGCGAAACTAATAAATGCTATGATTGGATCATATTCTCGACGCTTAAACATTTGTTTAACGTATGAATACTATGACTTTGACATTATATGACTATATATATGTAAATTGTTTTCAACAACCGTCTCTTCAACAATTAGTACATAAGGCGAAAGCGTGGTGAAATGATTTGAACCGATCAAAGCAGAAAGTTGCCTGTACTTGATAAATAATAGTTTGAACTTAGCTGTTACAGAGATTTCCAATTTTAACAAAATAATTTGTATTTATATTGACAGACTTTATTTTACTTCCTCAACTCATTTCAGACATCAAAGTTGTATGCAGAAGGTGCAACAGATTCAAATGTCTCTGTTCAACTAGTTGGCAAAAATAAATCTTATACAGATTGGTACGCGCTTGACAAATTTTGGCGAGATGATTTTGAACAAGGGAGAACAGATGAATTCACGATAGAAGACAAAGAAGTGGGGAGAGTCTTGTTTGTACGATTTCGTGAGTAATCCACCATATTTGAACGTACAGAAAATATTGAAATATATTATATAAATCATTTAAAACTGGTAAGTCCAGAAATATTCTGAAATTTCCAATGTGATAAAACTTCTGCTGGTCAATTTTACTTTCGAGAAGGTTAAGGTGCGCGCAACTAGCATATAGCGACTTCAATAGAAAGATGAGATCGTTCACTTTCTGCACCCGCTGATTAGGATAGAGCAGAAAAACTATTATTACATCCATAAGGCCATGACTTCTTGCCAGATTTGTGACTACTGTTATTCAGAAATGTTATAATCTGCAAAACAATGGTAGCCATAATACTGTAATATCCGTCCTTATCACATTTGAAATTGTATTTTATCATAAAATCATAAAAATAAAATAGTACTACAAATAAAAAATAAAAACATTACGGTCGTGTGGAATTCTACTTTGCGGGATATTGTTGATTTCATCATTCCGTAATAAATGATCTGTTTTGTTTTGTATTCAGATCTGAAACACACTAATAAAGAAAAGGATTTGTGGGCATGTGACAACGTAATAATCCATCATGGTAATTACGTTGATGAGTTTCCGCTGTACGATTGGGTTGTTGATAACTCTGTAATTGTAAGAGGTGAAGGTGAGTGCCAGTACTACAAATATCAACCAAGTATTCATGGTCTGCCTACAGGACCTGATTCGATGTGTCAGTACTATTGTGGCTTTCTCTTTCCTTAGCAGAGTTAGAATTTCATATTTCTTAGTAATTTCTTATTTATGACGGAATAAATTTCTGTGGCAGAGAATGATTATAATATTAGTTAAAATATTTAACCTTATTTGAAGAAATCTATGGGTTTCAATCACTCTATGGAAATTGAGTTGACAGTCTATATTTCATTTATGGCATAGCTTCAAGGAAAAACTGTACGCTATGACGAGCATGATGGGATTGCTCCATGATATTGGCCTTTGTTTTCAGGACTGATTCCTCAAAAAATAAGGTCTGATGAACTGCTAAAGACTATTAAAGAAGAACGAGAAAATAATCTACAAAGATTTGCGTGGATTGAAAAGGCAAAACCAGGAGACCCTGGGTGGATGTTGCCTAGATTTCCACCTGCAAAAAATCTTCACAACGTGCCTCATCAATTGAAAATGGACGACGCAAGATTTGAACACATGTCTGAAATGAGGAACGTTGTGAAGTTTAACGCTCTTGTCGAAAAGTTACAAAGTAAACCATTTACATATTTATGTTTACTTTCATAATTCATCTCGAATCAGAAATGTCAAAAAATAAATTTACCAATGAGCATGATATTATTGGAGATTCATAGGATAACGTATGGCTTTCGACTACTCAGCATAATACAACGCTCCAAAACAAAACAACAATCATTGAAAATGTGTATATGATGTGCTTATTTAGTAATGTAAATTCTATTTATTCAGGTTATTTGTTCCCGATCAAAGAGTTGGAAGATTACAAGACTCTTTTCAGTGGATTCAGAATCTCTGGAGATTTGCTCCCATGTATGGAAAGGTATTATAAGTTTGTTGAATTCGCTCTGTATTATGTTTCGACTACTTTTGTGACACACGATCAGCAATGTCCGAATCTTCTCATTATCACTATTTTTATTATAATCTTCTCAAATCATAATTTAATGTATCACAAACTGGACACATCTATGTTTTCTAGTCAAAATGCCTCACTTTCTTCTTGGTATAGAAGTCAGAATAATATTTCAAACTATAATAAAATTCGCCAAGAGATTTGAAATTGAGACCTGCAAAATTTGTCTAACACCACGGAGTCGTTGCATAACAGGCTTCTGGTACCACATGGTTAAAATTCTGTTTCTGTTTTCTTTGTTTAAAGATGGGAAGAAGATGAAGAACAAGGGCGACAGATGTTAAATGGTGCAAGCCCTTTTGCAATCAGTCGTTGTGGAAGGTTACCAGATTATTGTAAAATTACAAATTCTCATGTACAATCATTTTTAAATGAAGGAAAGTCGTTGGAGGACGAAATTAAAGTGAGTACATATGAATTTGATTAAAGGTTAAAGTTAAGAGTGATATTTGTTCTAAACACAATCTTCATAACTTACTGTCAGATATGTAAGGTGAGCTGTGATTTACAGTCTAATTTTTTTAATGATCATAAATAGCGAATAGATGTGTTTTTCTGAATTATTGACTATGGCGACATAAAACCATTAATATGTCATTATTCTCCCGCGCTCATAAATAAATAATCTAATTCGTTTTGTAATACATTTCTCCTTCAGCATATTTTACAATTCATTTATTTGCATTTATATAGGAAGGACGAATTTACATCGCCGACTACTCATACATGACTAAGGGTCTGCCAAGAAACAAGCAATATAAAACTGGAGATCCTCTCTATTGTGCGGATGTCACAGCGCTGTTCTATTCACCGGGCGACGGCAAATTTCGCCCAATCGCGATCCAGTTAGAACCAGATAATGCAGATTCCATTTTTACTCCAAAGGATGAGAGATATGACTGGATGTTGGCCAAAATGTACTTCCGATGCGCCGATACCATTGTGCACCAGGTTATATGATTATAAATTACTTTTTCATTCAAATAAACTTGCATATATATGCCAAATGATTTATCCAACATTTACACTCTTTAGTTTTATTGTGTAAAGTTGTTTCCCGCAACGACAGCGATCAAATAGCATTTTTTTTTTCCAGTGGATATACCATTTCTTGTGGGGACATGCGTTGCCAGAAACAGCCGCTGTTGCAATGTTCCGAAATCTATCACGAACTCATCCAATCTACAAGCTTGTTCGTCCACATCTTCAGCATGTTGTTGTGATTAATCAATTCGCAAGAGATACTCTTATCTTTGATAACAGCACTTCAAACTATACCAGATCCATAAGTAAGTTAAATGATCCTGTTAGACGTTAGCTTACCTGATTTAAAGTTTATGTTATATGCTGTTATTTTAGAGTCATACTTCTTAATCTGAACAAAAAATAGAAAAGACTGTTCATGGAATCATTTTGTCAAATATTTAGTATCATATGTAAAATGAAACAAATTTATTTTTGTATCACAGATGGTTCTGCATTGGCGAGGCATGTTTTCAAAGATTTCGACTTTGACGACTTTGCCCTCCCGAAGTTGCTCAAGAAAAAAGGTTTGTCGATTTTTATTTAACAGTTAAAAAATTTCCATTAGCTTGTTCTGAAGTCAATATCCAAGAATTGATTGGATCCTAACTCATACCAAACATTCAATTTTATTTACTACCTCACTTTAAAATTGGAATTATTCTCTATTGATACACGCGCTTGTAAAAGTTAGTGCCCTCTTTTGTTCATCCGTTATAGATTAAGTAAATAGTTCAAAATTTCATTTAGGTCTTGATGACTACAATCTTCTACAGAACTACCATTACAGAGATGACGCTACCGCTTTATGGAATGCAATTAAAAAGTATCTTTTGAAAGTCATCAATATATATTACAAGACAGATGAGGTATTGTATTGTATTGCGTGGTCAATCATGAAAATCGATACTTGGGATGCGCAATGTTAAAAATAAGATTTAAATAGTCTGAGTGAAGAAATAACGACACCTCATATTGTGAATGAAACTGAAGGAGGGGCATCATACTTCATTGTTTTAAATCATTTTTAACGTTTGTGACAGGAAGTGCGTGATGACGAACAAATACAATCGTGGATTAATGACTTCGCAACTGAAGGATTAGCATGGCCAGATGGGAATACGAGAGGGTGTCCGACCTGTCTTAACAGTGTTGATGAACTGGTTAGAGAACGCATATTTTTATTGCATCTCTGTTATCTTGCATATATATCTGTTATATTTTTTTGATAACTCAGATCCACTGATATGAAACATAGAGTAACAGACAACAACCACTAATAGCCAAATAGCCCTAAAAGATGTAGATGTCGAAATAAGTTATCTTTGCAGGTTATGCACATAACTGCTTAGTCACTAGGCTGTTAAACCTATATGCCCCTAGCTGTGCGAAAGCGCTATAACGCATTCTATGACCGCCAATCGTACGTTTTTGTATTCGATCCCCTAAGCCTAATGCATTGACACGTAAAATCGTCACAGGTACAATTCTGCACAATCGTTGTCTTCAACAGTGCTGTTCAACATTCAGCAACACACAATGCTATGTTTGATTTGTACAAATTCATTCCAAATGCACCTGGCGGAATGAGGCTTCCTATACATAAAAGAGGCGAGGTGAATATATAATGTTTGTACTTTTGTAAACTTGAATGAATTATTGAAGTTGAAAATGATAATAATCACAGAAATTTCATATAAACTTCATTCGAATCTAAACACTGAGTTTCTACCTACACGCAGGCAACACTTCAGCGAGTGCTAGATTCTCTTCCTGATGTTACAATGGCAACGATTTTGTTTGGAAGTGCCTTCGTTTTGACAGAATTACCAGAAGAAGAGGTGGGTCTATCTTCTGCTAACTGGAATGAAAATATTTTCATGCAGTTTATTTATGACTTCTGTATTTATGACTTCTTGCATTATTGATTCGTTAAGATGCATCATTGAATTAAAAATATGGATAATTAGTTGTCAAGATTTCTTGTCATTCTTGTATATTATTCGGATTTCAAATAGCACTTTTGTCTTTTTAACAGCTGCAGTCTTTTATCAAATTAGAATAGCACGGCTATCAGCTAAAATACAGAATATAAAACCTTTGTTCATGTTGAAAAAAGAGTTCATGTCTTTGTGAAATTGATAGTTCACTATATACTAAGCCGACATTCCTCTGCATGTGATTAATCTAATGTATAACCGTAATCTCAATGTTATATTTTATATATTATAGCATTGATAAAGTGGATACTCCGATAATCTTCTTCTTTGGTGTATTTTTCAAATCGAATAATGATAATACAGTTTACGTACTAATTTGAATGAATAAGCTGAATTATATAATAATTTAAACAGGTTTATCTTGGAGAATTTCCAATGAATCTTTTTATTGAAGAAGAGCCAAAGAAAGTCTTGAATGAGTTTGCAGATGATCTCAAAGTGGTTGGTGATAAAATGAAAGAACGAAACAAGAAATTGGAATACCCATACGAATATCTTTTGCCAGAAAATGTACCTACCGGCACTACGGCTTGAGTAGAACGATATGTGATTTTTTAAATAACAATAATTGAAGAAGTGATGTATATATTTATAAGGCTAAGGAAAAAACTGAAATTGTATGCCCTGAACTTGAATTTTTATAAACTCTATATTAAAAAGTATAAGAAATATTGAACTAGGAACTATAATATTTTATCTTCAAATATCCAACTAACCGCATGCTAAAATTGTCAGCTCATCTCTCATTTGTTTTCTGTTAATTATGTATCGTGTATTATAACATTATGTAGTAGAGATTGGTGTGTTTTATGATATACTGATATCACCAAATCGCGCCAATTTAAAAATTTGGAAAGAAATGATACGGCAGATGACAGCGCTTACTTTACCTCATTATTGCGCATTCTTTCACACAGAAAATCATCCATGTCTGTACCAGCTTACCGCCATTAACACCGTGGGATAGTTACAGACTAGAGTTAATTACGTTTTGTTGATTCATTTTTCGATATTGAATTTGATATAAATTTTTAGCATTAACATTAACGCAATTTTATATGTTGTCACATTATTAGAGAAAATATAATAAAATGAGATTGCATCAAAATGTTTCAAACTATCATTTAATATCATCGATTAAAAATTGATGAAAAAAACAGTTCAAAAACAACTAAACATGCTATTTGTTCTTTTTCCACCAAATTACTGTAATGCGGTTTAAGTTGTACATCGCCACGAGAACCAAACGATAATCAGTTAATTCGCACATCGACCGGTATGAATTTTATGACGCTAATTATGTCCCATTTCATATTCAGTATTCCTTTTAATGGTAGTCGACAGAAATAACAAAGCATGAGCAATTGGAGTAACAATTCTAGCTTTCAGACTATTAGTTTGGCTAACTGACGGATCAGTTAATTATTGATATAACGTGTATTTATTGGGGACAAAATCCTGGAAGAGAACGTGGGAATTATCAGGTAGGCCACCGATTAAAAGTCTGCAATAACAGACGATGTGAAATAATAATCACGTTTCGAACGATCACATTAGGTACGTGGGTTGCACTTTTGTTTTCGACAAAACGTGAAAATATAACGGAGAAGACGGTAGATCAGTAGTCATTTACCAAAAGTCTGATGTTAAAAATCAGCATGAAGGAGAGGAATTTTGTAAGTTCGGGCAATACGGACTTTCTCACGGTACACTCTTAATATCTCATAATGACATTCCCAAGATCAATCCTGTTGTGTCCTACCACAAAACAAGAGAGAAAAGCTCAAATATATGGACACTAAGCCAAAACGATGTACTATCAAATCTTTTACTGTAAAAGATAATATTCCTGTATAAGCACGCGTTTCAGTGAATCAACAACAAAACTAGACTATCGCTGCAGATATGGTCCTCTCTGTGAGCAGTTTCGATCCTACTTCTGTGGTTTAACGTATTTGTTGCCTTCTTGAGCCTGGTATATATATGCCAATTTGCCAATAGCTGGTACCAATACAATCACTGATACCGTTACAACTCTAGGCGTAATCAGTGAAAAGGAAACAGTATCGGTAGATGAGAGAAGCGAAGTCTGCAAAAGCTTCAAACTACTCTTTAATGTGTCACGTTTTAATTAAGAAATAAGCATGTTCACCCGCATCTTCTGTGGATTAACTTTTTTTCAATTTTATTCCTTAATGTTTACATGTCCTAATGCAACATTGAAACAAAGAATTGTTTGTCCATTTGCGTCATAAACTTATATCTCTATGGACCTTTCCCCGAGCATCGACTTCCTTGTTTACTTCGTAACATTGGCCAATCAGCAAAATGCAAAAAGTGACGTAACAATGCCCCCTTTTCGCATCCGCTCAGACACTTTTTCTCACTCAGACAGATTTTCAAGCGTGAATGTAAACATTACCTCGTTTTCGCGTTTTTGAACTCTATTCGTTAGTTTTCAGTTGTGTTTTGGGAACTTAAATAAAAATCAGATAATTCAATGATCACTATGTCTTTCTAGAAGTTTTAATTTAATTGCAGTAATAAAAATTAGTGTAGAAATAGCTGTGGTAGACAAGCCTGAAATTCTTTACCGGTACTTTTAAAAAACAGATTGTTGTATGCAATAAATCACAATGACGGTTTGAAACATATACCCCATTTTACAGGCGCCAACTCGCAAAAGCACTCTTAAAATAGCCCTAACAATTTTGCAATGGTAAAGTATAGGGAGAATTTTCCTAGGGTCAAAGGTCGGGGAAAGGTCCATATAAAGACACCTAGCTCTGGATCGTACCCCTACACCATCACTGAAAACTCTCCAATAACCAATACTGTATATATTCTGTTAATATTTATTTCTACCAGCTCTGGATGGTTTTTAATAAATATAGTTATAAAACGCTCATCGTGTAACATAATATGATGAATTTCTACATTTGAGAGTGTCCGTCACATTATGGTATCTGGCAACAATCCCTTAGTCGAAGAATTCCATGGAAAAAAATAATCGTTGGGTATTTCTTAGGAGATGCAGAAATAAACAACGTTTTTGAATATATTTCATTTATCTAAGATTCTATACCTTTCACCTCTTAGATTCTGAAATTGTTGGAAATAAAGTGGACCTACAAGACGCTATTCCAAATTGTTTTTGTTGAGAAATATAAATCGATAACAAAGCAATTACAGGACCCACCGACTTCAAATATTTTAATTCAATGATATTTGATCTAAAATGTTGCTGTTTTCTACATAGGTATTAGGTGCACACTTCTGTGACAATGTGTGCACGTGAATTTATGTAATGTGCCTGTTTTTATTTGTATTTATCCGTTTAACCGTGATTTTGATATAGATAGTGAGACTTCGAAGTGATTACCAAAGTGAATTTAAATTAAAGACCCACTTCAACCCACCTGCAAAATCGTACTTTTCCGAAAACATACTGGCACTCTGGCAAAAGCTGTGATAATTATATTATTGAATTTTCTCAAGCTGAATCGCACTTTGTTATGTGACAAACAAGAAGTGCAACCGCTGCCGAAGCTCATAAGGTGTCGCTGCATGACCGAATCCAGTAAATGAGTCCGTCTTCTTCTCGTCCGACCATACGTCGAAAATGAATTGAAAGAATTAGCAACACCTACAAAAGATGGTAACTTCTCATATTATAAATACCGTTTTTAAATTTGATAGGTAACAATAGGAATATTTTTGTAGCAAAATGCATCAACCTTTCTCGGAATTTCTTGTTCTCCATTAGATAGGAAATAAAAAAAATCAATCCCATTACGCTTTACCGAAGCAATTTCTATTACTGTACAAACAAATTTTGTACAAGCATCTTGAAGCTTCTTGTCTTGACGTTATAGGATGGCTTATAGCAGGGGTGGCCAACACGTCGATCGCCTCGTCTCGAGAAGTCAATCGCGTCTGATGTGAATTTTATTGAAATACCCCCAAAAATTGTCTCGAATCAGTGTTTTGCAACAGGGAGAATACAGTACTTTACATGCTCAAAATACAATATACACATACGGTATTTTTGAGTCTGGGCAAGCCCGATGAAGCATATTATCATCTAACAAATGCAAATTTTTCCGCTGCCAAGGTTTAAACATGAAGTGCCGAATATCGCATGTCTAGGGAAGCGTTGCCATATTGGCTTTTTAACGTCAAATTTCACGATTTTGGCTTTTTTGAAACACGTTTGGCGTCAGAATTTCCGTTTGGCTTTTTTATGTTCATTCTACTGTCTATTATTAAAATCATTTAAATTACAATACCGGTATTTAAGGTGCAACAATAGCAAGCTCATCTACTCAATATTTAGATTTACCCTTGACCCCAATCAATCAAAAAGAAGCCAACAATGACATAACATGTACTATCGATTAGGTTGAACTATGAGGAAGTCTGACCTTGGTCAGACGAAACGTTACAGAAATATAAATGTGTTGGTGTGCAGAAGGCTATTGAATCACTTAAAATGACATAACAATTGTAGTTTTTGCAGCCGCTCAGACAGATGTTCAAGCAGGCTTCGTTTTTATAGTTTTGCGTATTACAGTGTTATTGGCAGTTTTTAGTTATGTTTCCAAAAAATAGTCGTATGCCTTAATTCAGTAATTGTCATTTTGCCTTCCGAGGAGCTTTAGTGGGGTTGCGGTAATCAAAATTCTCGCAAACGACGTGATTATCTAGGCTATAATCGGAAGTTATTGTAGGATCGTTTGTCAGTCTAGACACGCGATATTTGGCACTTCATTTTTAAACCTTGGCAGCGGAAAAACTTGCATTTGTTACGTGTTCATATGCTTTATCGGCTTGTTGGCCACCCCTGTTTTATACTTAGACATGACATTCAAGAGCGTGATTCATCATCATTGTTCGCATTTTATCTTCCAATTTTTTAATTAAGGCGCATTTGACGTTAAGTTGAGTTCTTTTTAAATAATCTTCGGAGATTGAAGTTCAAAACTTGACACGTATATCAGCAAGATGACAAAAGTGACATACAAGCTACTGATTAAGGTTAGTTATAATTTCTTGGTTGACAAATTTTAATTTGTCAGAGATGTTAATTTGCGTTGAATTTAATTTCAAATAGTCTATATCAATATATCTTCTCATCTCTGGTGTCTTATTGTAAAATCTGGATTTTCAGGCTGGTTCTTTGAATTTACTTCAAAGGCTAACTTTTCCGTGACGGCTATTGTACGGCATAAATTAACTTCTTAAAATATTACGAGAATTCTTCTGGTCACGCTGTCATTTTAGTGTCAACCACACAGTTAGTCGTTCATCCTTTGCAATTGCCGTTATTGTTGGCATACTTTTATGCGCATCAAATGATGAATTCGAACTTCGGTCAAATGATCTTCGAATATTTTCTATTTTGAGTGTAGATATTCAGATCAAATTTTATTTGTTCAATCTTCTGCGTTATTTAGATGCATAAAACACCGCCTAAAAGTTTCATTCTTTGTCTGTGGCCTCTACGGTGTGGCTCACTTTTTGAATAAAATTTTATTAACACTCAATTTAATTATTTGTTCCATCTTCAACGACCAGTAATGGGATGACCACCTAGAGGCGACTGGTCGATGTTCCGTACGAATTACCGTAAATAACGAGGCAACGGTCCTATAAACTTAATCTTTGCTATTGATTCAAGAAAGATGCGAGATTTTTATTGATAGAAAAGAAAACGAATTAGATAATATTTCCGCCAGTTAAACTTTTTTAAATGCATGAATACCTTGACTTCTGGACTTGAAGTTGCCAAAGCAACCGTAACTTTAATTATTAGTACAGACGGCATACACGTAATAAAATGATTTGAATCGACTAACTTCAGGTTTGTACTCTGACAAACATTTAACCATCCCAATTCTACAACAATTATTTAAATTGAAAATGTCAGTTATTTAATGACTTAACACTAATGCCGCAACTCATTTCAGACATCAAAACTGTATGCAGAAGGTGCAACAGATTCAAATGTCTCTGTTCAACTAGTTGGCGAAAATAAATCTCATACAGATTGGCACACGCTTGACAAATTTTGGCGAGATGATTTTGAACAAGGAAGAACAGATGAATTCACGATAAACGACAAGGAAGTGGGAAGAGTCTTGTTTGTAAGATTCCGTAAGTAATTCATTTTTTTTTTCAATTCTTAATGACATTCTTAACATAAAAATCACACATCTTCAAATAACAGAAGCTGTTCCACAAAATCGAATTCAAAGCTCAAAAATAAAAAAATAGACCCATTTCGATCATCGAATACGATCTTTGAAATATGTCAAAATTTTCCATAAGTATACAAAACATGTATGTTTCGATAAAGCAAAAGTTAATGTATAGATACGCCCAACTTGCTTGAAATTGTATTTCATCATAAAAACGTAGTTACAAAATACTACACCCTAGCCAAAATAAAAGAGAGAATATTGAATATTACTTTGTGTAAGGTTTTGTTGATTTTATCATCTCATTTTAAATGAAACAATTCGTATTCAGTTGTAAATTGTATTCAGATCTAAAGCATGGTAGCACAGAAAAGGATTTGTGGGCATGTGACAACGTAATAATCTATCATGGTAACTACGTTGATGAGTTTCCGCTGTACGATTGGGTTGTTGATAACTCTGTAATTGTACGAGGTGAAGGTGAGTGCTCTTCAAACAAATACCAACTAAATATTTATGGGATTTATTTGTGGAAACTTATAATCTACTTTATGGAAGCTAACACTCAATTGTTTTTATTCTTGACAAAACTCTAATGAATACCCGTACTATATGAAAATCATCATATGATATGTTCGTAATATTGGCGTTTTTTTAGGACTGATTCCTCAAAAAATAACGTCCGAGAAATTGCTAAAGACTATTAAAGAGGAACGAGAAAATAATCTACATAGATTTGCTTGGATTGAAAAGGCAAAACCAGGAGACCCCGGGTGGATGATGCCTAGATTTCCACCTGCAAAAGATTTACTCAATGTGCCCCATCAATTGAAAATGGCTGACGCAAGATTTGAACACATGTCTGAAATGAGAAACGTATCGAAGTTTAACGCTCTTGTCGAAAAGTTACAAGGTATATTATTCACATATTTATGTTAACTCTACCATATTTCTTCTTTATCAAAATCATCAAAATTGCAAGTTAATTGAGCGATACGTATGATATTACTGGAGATCATGAGGTGATATATCTATATACTGGTCTTTTGTTTGTGATTCTCAACGCTATTCCGCATTTCCAAGCAAAACAACAATTACTGAAAATCACTATTTGATGCTCTGACTCATGATGTAAATATTGTTTATTCAGGTTATTTGTTTCCGATTAAAAAGCTGGATGATTACAAGAATCTCTTTAGTGGATTCAGAATTTCTGGAGATTTGCTCCCGTTCATTGAAAAGTATAACAAAATTGTTGAATTTCTTGTTGTCTTGTCTCGTTGCATCAAACAACACAGATAGTCGCATAATGTACTTCTGGTAACTCATGGTTACAATTATTTTTTTTTTCTATCTGAAGATGGGAAGAAGACGAAGAACAAGGACGACAGATGTTAAATGGTGCAAATCCTTTTGCAATAAGTCGTTGTACAGGGTTACCAGAATATTGTAAAATTACAAATACTCATGTAGAACGGCTTTTAAATGACGGTAAAACTTTGAAGGACGAAATTAAAGTGAGTACATATGAATTTGATTAAAGATAACAACGAAAATCCTATTTTACAGAATGGGTGCGAATAGTTTTAAAGGTATGGAGTAAATCACTGTTAAATATATAAAGTAAACTGTGACTTTAATTTTAATTTTCAGTAATCATAAATAGCGAATATAGATTTGTTTTTCTGATTATTGACTGTGGCGATATAAAGCTATTTTTCGGGGTATACTCCTGGCTTGTAGAGTCATTATAAAAATTTCACTATTGTGATACATCACATAATATCATTGGCAAAGGTATTTATTTATTACCAATATGGTAAAGATATTTAAACTAATTTTTAATCTTAATCGTCGCGTGAATATAATACATTATTTTATCCTATTCTAAACAATTCATTTTAATTTCCTTTGTAGGAAGGACGAATTTACATCGCAGACTACTCGTACATGACTAAGGGTCTGCCCAGAAACAAGCAATATAATGGAGATCCTCTCTATTGTGCGGATGTTACAGCGTTGTTCTATTCATCTGGCGACGGCAAGTTTCGTCCAATCGCAATCCAGTTAGAACCAGACAATGCGGATTCCATTTTCACTCCAAAGGATGAGAGATATGACTGGATGTTGGCTAAAATGTACTTCCGATGTGCTGACACTATTGTGCATCAGGTTAAATGGTTACAAATTACTTTGTTCTTATAAGTTTCAAAGCTTCGTAAGAAAATCAAAATCAAAGTCAGCTTGATTTTGAAAAACATTGTTATTCTTGTGCCAAATACCGGTATGAAGCACAACGAAAGGCAGTTTCATATTTTTTCTTGGCTTCGTTAAAACAATAAACTCATCTTCATTCAATCTTGCATAAACTCATCTTCATTCAATCTTGCATAAGCCGTTTCAATTATCGCATCAGTCAAAAAAACTTTATTATATACTGCATTTTTATTGTATTACCGTACGTTGTTTTTAATTTAAATTTGTCAAGGTTGGTGCAGAGTTTATTGCAATATTAATGGATGTTGTGTACCACGTGATAACACCGCTCAAATAGCATTTTTTATTTCAGTGGATATACCATTTTTTATGGGGACATGCTTTGCCAGAAACAGGCGCTGTTGCAATGTTCCGAAATCTATCACGAACTCATCCAATCTACAAGCTTGTTCGTCCTCATCTTCAGAATATTGTTGTGATTAATCAATTCGCAAGAGACATTCTTATCTTTGATAACAGCACTTCAAACTATACAAGATCTATAAGTAACTTAAATGATGGTGTGGTTTGAAATATATGGTATAGGTTGCAATTTTAGTTTCGTGATTTTGATCTTGCGTACTGAATTAGATACGGAAATTTCACGTAGATTTCAAAGCTAAATCATAAGGAATAATAAAGTATCAAAACCCACTTAAGGCTTTACCAATAACTCTTTAACTATCTGCAAGATGTAATACATCTCGATAATAATAAGAAATAGAAATGTTTGTTTCTGGCATCATTTTGTCAAACATTTAGCAATATAGTGATGAAAAAATGAAATAAAACGAATTTATTCATTTATCACAGATGGTGCTGCTTTGGCAAGGCATGTTTTCAAAGATTTCGACTTTGACAATCTTGTCCTCCCAAATTTGCTGAAGAAAAAAGGTTTGTTGATTTATAAACATTTAAACTTTTGTCGTTAATTTGAACTGAAATGTTAATATCCTAAAATTTATTGGATCTGAAATTATACTGATCTTTTGCTTTTGTTTTCTATTGATATCTGCTCCGAAGAAAAGTAGTGTCATTTGATGTCAATGCTTCTCTTCTTCGGTCATAGTTCGAATAAATTTTTAGGTCTTGATGACTACAACCTTCTGCAGAACTATCATTACAGAGATGATGCCACCGCGTTGTGGAGCACAATTGAAAAATATCTTTCAAAAGTCATCAAAATATATTACAAGGCAGATGAGGTAATGCACGACTTTTTGTCCAAATAGACGAAAAGACTTGGAAATTTAGAGAACATGCATCGAAGTGTCCAGTAATATAGAAACCAATATTGCTAATGTTCACGGAATGAGAATTGTAATGGAGACCCATAAAAATAAATGAAAAACGAAAGCAAAGTTTCATTCTGTCGGGAGTTCAACTATGAACAGGTTATCTTGATTATCAATTCGATGATACGTTTTATTTGATTATTTCTTGTTTTCTATTAACTTTTCGTCTTAGTCGATATCAGAAATAAACCGATTAGAAATAAAACAATATCCTCCGAAAACTACTGTAAGTGAGGAAAAATGACACTTTATATTGTTTATTAAATTGGGTAAGTGGCGTCATTGTCATGAATTATATCATACATTACAAATACCCAAATATGTACTTTGCCTTGCTATTATTTAGTTACTGAGACCGCTTACATTTTAAAAGATACTTTTTGCAGAGATTATAATCTTATGAAAACAGTAGATTTGTTGTATAACACATGCAACCCAAATAATTTTTTTATTGTCGCGTACAGTGTTGCTTTTTTTTACCAATTTATCATCTTGCTAGGACGTGCGTGATGACGAACAAATACAATCGTGGATTAATGATTTCGCAACTGAGGGATTAGCATGGCCAGATGGAAATACAAAAGGATGTCCGACCAGTCTTAAAAATATTGATGAATTGGTTAGAAACACATTTTTTTTAATTGCATTTTTTTTCTTTCATATTTTTTTGAGGCAAATTTGTTGAAAATTAGATTCACTGAAATAAAAAAAAAAGGTACTGAACGAAATATTGACCCAATAGTGGTTGGGTATATAATTTCGAAATATGGTATTGTCCTGCAAACTTGCAAGTTAATTCCCCCTGATGATATCGCTATAGCGTATTTTAGGAATGTCATTCGTCCCCGTATATTTGTCTCTCATATGAAGGAAATAAAGCGGCACTACTAAAGTGTAGAAACCCTCCATAATACAATTATTACTTCTTTGGAAGCATGAATAGGATGAAGGAACATCTGTCACGATGGTGCAAAAGTTTCAATATATAATAGTGTAATTTATTTTTAAAGATTTCAAAAAACTATTCACAGACATCTTGAAGCCTTAAAATTAAACCTTGCCCAAATCGACCGCAAATTAGTTACTGACGTATTGCTGAGAACTCGTCGCGTGATTTCGCAATATGCATTCAGTGCGCTCCTTGTTCTCATTTTCATTATTTTGCTAGTTTATTCTATTCTGCGTTGTCTTTGGCAAACGCTGCAGTAGGTTTAAATATATAGCAATGTATCCAAATAATATCATTGCATTATTCAAAATAAATGCAAACTAGGGTCAAAATATACTTGATCTCCTTGCGGAACTATTACGAGCGACGGGATCCAAACGTTTCTCTTATCTTGGAAACTACACAAGATTGGACTGGAAATCTTATCTTCCCCTAATCATACCCCAGCATCATTTTACAAATGTGTTCTTAATAGCACTGTAAATTGGAGACATGTCGTATACAAATTAATTGATAAAATTGTCATATATATATGAGTTCAGGATTAGATTGACAGACAGATAAATAATGTTTGCATGCAACATTGTATAGTTTCATAATAATGTGAATCGAATAAAAATTCGAAAGACTGCTTAATCGAGACACCAAACCATTACTGGGTGTCCACTTTTCCCTGGTAGTGGTATGGTACACTTTGGGTAATTTACCGATTTGTACTGTCCAGTCGTTCAATGTGTAAATTCTGTCGAGTATTATTCATCGCCAGAGCTGCAATATGCTCAGTGTTATATTCTGGTTCAATCATTATCTTTTCCATAACATCTCCATTGTTGCACTTCATCTCCTACAAAGTTACGTCAGTCCAAATTTGGTTTATATAACAGTCTAAATTGATAGTTTAGATTGAAAGTGTATTGTCAGTACTGGTAGTCTATGTTTACTGCATAAAACGTCATCGCTTGATTGCCCTGACTTATTGTCTTCCTATTTCTATGCAGTTTTGTTCGGCATACAATATTATTTTAATCTTCACGAAACTACGCAACGGGGAATCAGAATTAAATACAGAAAACTAAGGTCGAACACTTTACTCGGAAATATACCTGAAATTATGGCCCAACCCTAACCTGGTACACATACTACGTTCCAGTGTCCACCATCTTAGTTCACATAGTTCGGGAGTACCATTTATCAAATAAAAATTTTTGATGATAACTCACGTTCTATCGCTTAAATGCTGAATGATAGTCGTTAACCAACACAATAAAACGAGTTGACTCGTAAATTGAAATCTTTACAGGTACAATTATGTACAACTCTTGTCTTCAGCAGTTCTGTTCAGCATTCGGCAACACACAATGCAATATTTGACTTATATAAATTCATTCCAAACGCACCAGGTGGAATGAGACTTCCAATACATAAAAGAGGCGAGGTGATTGTATAATGTTTGTTATCTTATATATCAGTGGTTCCCAAACTTTTCAGAGTTGGGACCCACTATTTATCACAACAGGTTATAGCTACCCATCTCGTGATTTCACAATGCCATTTCATTTTTGAGAAATGAACACAAAAGACCTTCCAAAAAAAACCATAGTGTTACTCTTCAAAAGAAAATAAATCTAAATCCTGTCTAATTTTTGGGGAAACACGGTAAGAAGTGCTGTACAGTGTACAAAACTGCTATGCGTAAAAAAGCCACATGATCATTCTTAGTGTAGCAAATTTTTGTTCCTTTGAGAAGATCGTAAAAAGGAAACTTTCACAGATTAGAATTTAAATTCAATTTAATTTCTTTTGTTTTTTTAAGATTTACGTATTCGAGTCATCAGCGATCCTAAAAACCAGTATAATTAATCAAAGCTTTCTACGTCTTTTCACGACCCACTAAGATTCCTTTTGCGACCCATAGTTTTCGAACCGCTGTTATATATCATTGTTGAAAGTAATAATTATAGAAGTTTCATATAAGATTCATTCGTCCGTGCACACAGGCAACTCTGCAGCGAGTGCTGGATTCTCTTCCTGATATTACAATGGCCACGATTTTGCTTGGAAGTTCCTTCGTTGTGACAGAATTGCCAGAAGACGAGGTTGGTCTATCATATTATACCTGTGGTATATACCAACATTTTTATGCAGTTTATTTATGACATTTATTAATGACGGCTCATGTTCTTCAGGAATTTGGAGTCTGTTGTATATTAAAGCAATATTGCCTTGCAACTTGAATCTTTAATAAATTCGTAATTGTGCGATTAAAACATTGACAAAATTGATACTTTGAATTTCTGCATTCTACCTTGATATATTTTTAAGTTCAATAACAGAAGAAATTTACATATTAATATAAACAAGAGAGCTATGCTCAAATATATGGACACGTAGCGCCACCCAGTAGCAATAATTTTGATGACGTCATAGCAAAAAAAAAAAGTAATAGCCTTCTGGAGAAAAATTTTATCTTTAACCACTGAAAATATCAAAGCAATTGGTCCAGTTTTCGAAGAGAAAAGCGATTTTTTTTAAAATGGAGACTGAGACAAATAACAATAACAATAACAACAAAATTTGAAACGATCGTTATGGCCACTAAACGTGTCCAATAAAATATACTTAATTATATAATAATATATACAGGTTTATCTCGGGAGAATTCCCCATGAATCTGTTTATTGAGGAAGAGCCGAAGAAAGTCTTGAAGGAGTTTGCAGATGATCTCAAAGTGGTTGGTGATAAAATGAAAGAACGAAACAAGAAATTGGAATACCCTTACGAATACCTTTTACCAGAAAAAGTACCTACCGGAACTACAGCCTGAGTAGAACTAATATATGTTCATTTGGATAAAACAAGTCTTGTTATATATAATGCTTATGGAAAAACTGAAAGTGTTTATTCTAAACTAAATTGGCTAAGAGCTTCAAAGTTGAGTTTGAATCGCAATATTTCACTGTAAATATATTAGAAAGTATAGAAAAATATGAAATTCAGCAAATGAAATATTCCATCTTCAAATATCTTATTCACTACTAAAATTGTCAGCTTATCTTTTATTTAGAATATTCATGTTAATCAAGATATCCTATTTAAACGTTGTATTTTTCTGCATCAATGAATATACATATATACGTATATACAGTAAAAATTATTGTGTTTTATATTATGCTGATATCACCAAAATTGGGCCAGTTTCGACAAAAAATGATACGGTGACACGGGAGAGAGCTCACAGCCAACCGGGTTTAGAAGAACACAGTTCATTCTAATACCTAATATCTTTAATATTTATTGAATTCGCTTTTTGTGCGGTCGCAGGAGAGCCAGCGCAAAATTTTCAGCAGTGCAACAGGGACGTATCAGTGAATTATGCATTAACGGGACAAGCATTCCCAGCACTGAGGTGTTTTCAAGGGGAATGCTTGGAGGTGACGAGCCCTACTAGACGAAATTCGGGTGCTTTTGTGTGAGTTACTACACGTACCTGTTTCAACTTGCAACCAACCTTCAAATCCGCGGTACAGTTAGGCTACTTGTAATCGAGAAGATAAACAAGGATATGTATAACGAGCTTCTGACCTCTGCCACATGCCACACAAAAAAAATGCAGAAAAAATCAATTGGCTGCCACTGAAAATCGTAGCCACTGAAAATCGTAGCAACAGGTCTGAATATATTAAAAAAAAACCAAATTGGCGTGTCCAAAATCTCTTCTATGATCGAGGAGATTGTAAATAGACTTAACTTAAGATATAAGAAAAACGGCATGATGATTTAGTCTACAGCCGAAAAGAACTATTTGTCTTCATTGTTGTAAATCTGTTCCAGAAACTGAGTACAATAATTTGGGCAAACTTTCCGGCAAATAAATATTTTGTTGATGGTCCATGTCAAAAAGTTTGGGCACTACTCATTTGCACTTTTTTTTATTTTCATGGAGTGTTGGATGGTATTTTCTT